AGTTTCGAACTCGTGTTGTGTGGCACGCACGTGAATTAACAGCCGCAGTCATACCAGTTGGGCTGCCGGCCCATCGTGTGTGTTAAATTAACCATCCCGCTTAAGTTTATTTGTTTATAGTTCTTAATACGAAATGGCAAATGCGGATTAAGTTTATCTCGTTACTTTTCCAATACGAGTCAAGCCTCTCCCTAATAACTTAAATTACTATATTCTCTTTTCATAATTTCATAGTAATCAAATTAAATTTTATTAACATAAATTATAATACGAAAATCACGATCAGTGGAACGTGATGAAAATGTCACAATTAAACTATCAAAGTTCAAATGAACTACGTGGACTTTGATCCCGTCTAACGGGTACGTAGGCAACCGGTAAGGTTCGAGTCCAACTAACCAATTAATTATATCTTTTACGTCAGTGGACGTATAATGTAATTACAACTAACACGATTTAGTTTCTTCAATGGTCCAGTGGGACCCTCAAATTACAAAATTGTTACTAAAATACACCCAACTTGCATAAAAACTTATCGACTTAAGTAGTACCGATTTAGGGCGTTGTGGGGGTGTTGCTTAACTTCCCCACACGTAACCGTACTCCCGAACCCAGAACTTTATTTTCGCAGACCATGCCTCGGTTCTGACACTAAGGTTAGAGCCGATTTGAAGAGTGTTCGATCCACTCCAAATAAGATCGATGGCGACTCCCAAAACAGCCGACGCGACGATCTACGGACCCCCCGGACGGGACGGTTGCGACAGTTATGACCGTTTATTGGGTGTCGGCTAGCCGACAATAACAAGAAGAAACAAGAGGAAGGCTAGTCTATGGGAGATTATGTTCCTGGGTTTCTTTCTCTGCTGGGTTTTCCTTGACTTTTTGTAAGCTAAATTTATTTTTAATTATTTTTTTATTTTATTTTTTAATTGACATGTCAGTAACTTAACGATTAACATTATAGTTGATTGTTACTTAAGATGAACTTAACATAGTTGGACGACGAGCGACCATTAATGCAACGAGATGTAAAATTAGTAACCAATTAAAAATTAAGATTTTGTGGGGAGCAAATGTAACACCTTAGGAAAATCCTACATCGACAAAGCACGGGAGAGATCCATGGTTCATAAGTGAGAAACTGGCATTAACTGACAAGACGCATTTTGGGATGAAATGGAGGAGTTCTTGTGAGAACTCCGAAGTTAAACGTGCTAAATGTGGAGCACAACAATGATGGGCTTTCTTATGGAAAGTCACCTTGAATTGCATCCCCAGTCTAAAACTGTGAGGGTCAAGGCCCAAAGCCGACAATATCTGTGTCGGGAAAAGGTCTGGGATGTTACAAGTGGTATCAGAGCCTCTCTGCGTCCCTCTTGAACAATGGTGGGGCCTCAACGAGGACGTTGAGTCCCAAGAGGGGTGTATGTAACACCTTAGGCAAATCTCATATCGACAAAGCACGAGAGAGATCCATTGTTCATAAGTGAGACACCGACCTTAACTGACAAGACACGTTTTGGGGTGAAATGGAGGAGTTCCTATGAAACTTCGAAGTTAAACGTGCTCAAGATGGAACACAACAAGGATGGGTGACCTTATGGGAAGTCACCTTGAATTGCATACCAAGTCTAACACCGTGAGGATCAAAACCCAAAACGGACAATATTTGTGTAGGGAAAAGGTCTGAGATGTTACAGCAAATATCTAAAAAGAATTTATAAATGGAGCGTTTAAACGTGTAATTTACTCTTGTTTTTTTGTCAAATGTTTTTTTCTTATAGATATCTCAAATATCAAATATGAATAGTCTGAAACATTAATTAATTGATATATAAAGGAAAATTTTGATTATTGATCCCTAAGTGAGCAATTAGGGAGTGGTCCTTTTTAGTTTTTTTTTTTACTTTAGTCATTTTAGCTTTAATTTGACAACAACTGGAATTAAGCTTGTCTTCCTCGGTTCATAAAATAAACTATTATGTGCGAGTATTTGTATGTTCTCTTATCCAATAGAATTTCAAAATTTGGACTGATTTTTTTTTAATTACGGGCTTATGAGAATTTGCCTTGCTTCGGGATTGTGGGCTTATTTACAGGTCGTTTGCTTCGTGAATCCTAAGTGAGCAATTAGGGTGTGGTCCTTTTCAAAAAAAATTTATACTTTGGTTATTTTAGCTTTAATTTGATAACAATTGGACTTAAGCTTGTGGTTCTCCATTCATAAAATAAACTATTATGTGCGGAAATTTGTATGTTCTCTTATCCAATTGGACTTCAAAATTTGGGCTGATTTGTTTTAATTATGGGCTTATGAGAATTTTCTATGCTTTGGGATTATTTACGAGTCATTTGCTTTGTGAATTTGAAAAATGAAAGTTTTGATTAAATTTGGGTTTTTGTAAAACCATGGATACTCCTGTTTTGTATCTTGATCAATAAATTGGACACTACTTCTTCTTCTTCTTGTCCCTGAAACTTTTACCAAAGTTACTACTCACCCTCACATGCATACAATATCAATTAGCTCCATGAATTAGCGATAAACACTAGGGGTGGGCATCAAGGTCGAACCAGAGAGCCTTGATGCGGATGAACCCGCGAGCTTGTTGCACACGTTTTTCTCACCAGATCAAGATTAAAACGAGTCAACCTGCAGGTTGAAAACCTTTACTAGAGAAGTGGTAAGTTTCATAAAAATGAGAAACATACTAGATGAACAAATTTAGTACAAATCTCACTTTTTTATAATTCGTAAAATATATTCATGAAATTCATATTGTTTTACTTTTTCAAAAGTCTCCATCTACAAAGATCACGAGAAAATCGACGGACATTCGTAATCTTTTTCTTATCATAAATAAATAAACAAACAAAATTAAAAGAATATAATCATACTCAAAAGAATTGCATCCCAACAAGCAACCACCCAAAATTGCCATCCCTAGTAATAATAAAATTGTTGGATAAAGTGGTACTACAAATAATGCTGGCGGAACTGATGTCAAACATTTTTCCTTTAGTTAGATTATTGCCCAATCAAGGTGCGGGAAAACAATTAGACCAATGGCCTGGATTTATATGCTTTCCTTTCAACTTAAGAGGACGTTTAATACAATAATCAAACATACAAGGTGTACACAAATTCTTCTCTTTTACATGCTTAAATACTCCTTATTGTAGCCAGCCAGAGAACAACTTAACATTTGACAATTGGTGATCATGAAAATGACACATGAAAACCACTTAAAAAAAAAAAAAGCTCCCTAGAATGAGGGAAACTCTATCTGTGAGCCACATTTGCCATGTGGGAAAACAGGGCACTCAACAAGCTTGGAACCAGAGTTATCAACACACAAGTACACTTGGTACAGTTGACTGTTCCCAGATTCATCAGTGTTGCACTCTATGTAAGGAGTGTATCCCACACCGCTCTGGATCGCGCTCTTGATGCTGCTCAAGCTGTACGATCCCCCGTCGGGCTGAATTCCTGTCAAGAAGAACAACAAAGTAATTCGCGAGTCAGAAACACACAAATCGCAGCGAAGAAGGGAAACAATTCCAGATGGTGCAGCAAGGTTGTGCAAATGATGTTTGTAACCTGCAGTTTTTAGAGCTTGTAGGATGTTGGTCTGTGTCTTGAATCCGAGGGCTCTCGCGAAGTAACTATGTTGGTCAAGCACTTCTTCAGAGCATGTGCCGTGCTTGTCCCACTCGTGAGACCAGAATGTCACTCCATCGCCACTCGGGCAAGCCAGAGTTGGCCACTCCTTTTGCATTGTAGTGATTAGATTTGAAACCTGGTGTCAAATTGGAAAAAGGAATTCAATTTCTCAGGCCCTTCTAAATCACTAAAAATGAGTTCAATTTATGTGTGTACCTTGCTCTGGTCAAATGGGGCACTGGAGTCACAATTGGAAGGGTAAGTGCCATCATTGTAATTAGGCCAAAGCCCATGAACCCCAAAATCAGCAGCGGGTTTCCCTGTGGTTGGGTAGCAGCAGCTCTGCTTTGTGTCACAGTATGATCCTGGCCACTGTCACCACCACCAATGCAGCACCAGCCATTATTACTATATATACACTTCAAACGAATGCAAATGAAGAAGGGTATTTTTCAGTTGGAATGTTTGAGCTGGATTACCTGCTGAACAAAGTAGAAGAAATCGAAATCCTTGGAAACAGAGAGCCCAGCCAGGGACAGGGCTACCAAAGCCTGGAGCAGGGCCACTGAACTTGGCTTCATCATGTGTCTTTTTTTGCAACTTTTTGGTGTTTTTGTTTCTGTTGAATGGTTTTGGGTTGAGGTGGAAAAGGTAACTTGGGAATTAGGGTATTTATAGCAGAAAAGGAAACAGAATCAATCATAGCATATGCTTGCAGCTTGCCAAATCATGTGAATTCATTCATGGGATTTTTTCCGTTTTTTTTTTTTCTATTGATTAACGTGTGTGAACAAACATTATTAAGTGTTCCTCTTCATATCATGATCCCTCTGATGTCGGCTGGCCTTCCTTCTCTGTGTATGTTTTGATTCCCATGCATTATTGATTCTTATCTTGAACTCGTCCTAAAATTTGTAACTTCAATCCTGGCTAGTAGTATCCTACTGTCACTCTCTTATTAGAATTTTGATTGCAACACATGGGTCAGCTTTTCTTCTTTTCAAACATGAAATGAACTGCCTGGATGTACTCTTCTTAAAGTCAAAGTGGTTTCTTTATACATGCCCCATGGCTACATGATTGGGGTTGTTGGTTACTGCCTTATTGGCTTCAAATTTATTTTACATATATTTCATTAACAAATTTTTCGTGGAAAAGTCATCGAGTAATATGATGTATATATAGCTGGTAAAACATGATACGGGTAAGTTACTTGTAAAATATGTACATATGTTTTATTTCGTCTCTAAACTAATGATACGTCTAATAGTACGCCAATAGTTCTAAATGTATTAAATTATTTATTTGAAAGAGAAATAAATGTATGAATAATGTTCAAATTATCAATTTATTAGTTCAATGAAAATACATATATTAAACATATTAAAAAAAATTATACGTGTTTAGTACATGAACTATCAAATGAAAATAGTATGGAAACAGAAGTTTTAAAATAAAATAAGTACGTACATATATACACATATTAAATGGAGGACATCACACTAGTCAAGAGGGATTGTTTTAAATAACATAGATAAATTCTATTCTTTTTTTAGGAATGATTCTATTTCAATAAATATGATTACAAGTTTGTACAAAATTAAAGATTGACTATTAAATTGTATTGGTTTAAAAACAATATACGTAAGAAGTTAAATTGAAGGACTTATTCCCAAATTTTTTGGGTATTACCTATGAAGTTGGCCAAAATTTATGACTATACATGGGTCCAACGAATCAACAATATCATTTGGGATCTTTTAGTTGGGGAGGGCAGGTATCTTTGTTCCCTAATTGAGAAGTTTTAAGGGTATTTTTGTTCAGAACAATAAGTATGAATCTGCAATTTCTTAATCCCGGCCGGTTTCACATCACATCTTCTGCAATCTGCACTGCAGTTTCGTTCACACTAGTGCTTGAAAAACAACGGCCACTGTTCACACTTGTGGCGGGGTCTTGCTCAATCCTGACAATTCATAAATAAAGGGGTTACGAAGTTTAGTTCTTATATGTTGCATGCTAAAACAATCGGTTACAAAAAGAAGGGTTACACAATGAATGAGAGAGAAGTTAGAGCGCTACCAGTTCGAACATTTGATGTCGTATCACTAATTTTAGAGTTGGGTGCGTTGAATACACCTCAAAAATTGAGTGCATTGAAGTAGTGAGTGCATCGAAGACAAAACCATATATGTGTGTTGAGACGACTTGTATGCTCTAGATTCTCTGACTTTTAGATGTACTTCGATGAGCTCTCCGACCAATCTCAACACTCAATTGTTGTTTTCTTTTAAATTGAAATTTGGGTTTAGAAAATAGAGACCTAGGGTTTATCCATTGAAAGTTAGGATATATTATCATTGCCCCAAACTCGATTAAATTAGTGGTCTAAATAGGGCATTTAGTGCACTCCAATTTTTCAGTGCATTAAATGTACTCGCATCATTGATAATATTTTGGGAGTGGATAGGGTGCTAAATCCTTTAAGTCTTGGCTCCATACAGTCATACTAACACTTACTATAAGGGTATTATAGTAACCATATCTTTTTTCTTCCCATCTCCCTTCCCCTCCTCCATCAATTCATGTTGTTTTTCTATGGTTCATTTACAAATTACAGTTTTTGCACATGAACTTAATAGTTATTAATATTTAGTATCCAAAATTAAATTTCTTACATTTCAGTCATAATAAATTGATGGAAAATTACATTTTAGTACTTGAATTTTTTTATTTCTTACATTTTGGTATCGAAGCTTTTAAAATCTACAAACAAGTCCACTTCTAAGAAACTTCTGACCTGCTATGAAAAACTTTCTGGTTTACTTGCGGTTATGGCCTACTTTGAGGAGGTTCTGACCTACTTTCAGGATATTGCCTATTTTGAGGTTCTGACCTACTTTGTGGAGGTTCTGTCATGCTTTGAAGTTCTGACATACTTTGTAGAGTTTCTGGACCGGCCTATTTTGGTGGTCTCCCTCCCTTTCTCACATTTAATGCAAAAAGAACAGCTGGTCTCCCCTCCCCTTCTCCCAATTTTTATTAATAACCAGCATGCTTCTCTTTCCATTTCCCTTCATTAAGTGAAGCCAACTCATTTAAATTGAAAAGTTATCCAAACGAAATATTCATATTGTCTTGAGCTAGTGTTAGGCCCATGCTAACAAAAAAAAGTGTTAGCATGCTATAATAATTTGGTGAATTTATAACTAATTATTAACTAATAAAATGTATGATATTTATTCAAAGAATTTAACTTATTGATATTTACAATTAGACCCCTCACTCCTTGAAAATAGTAAAACGAACTGGAGGTCAATATTTTTTGTTCCGCTCAATTCTCAGTTTCTTCCCATTAGAAGAATTGGTGCGGCCTGCTGAAAGTCAGTGTGATGCCATCGCCGACACCATTGTCTGAGAACCTCCATCTCGGTGTCCAAGCCCTAGAAGCTCCCGAGTGGTCGGAAGCGACAGGGATGGCAGCGAATGAGATGCAAGCAAATTGGTAACTGGGAAGTCCAACATGATCGATGCCATGGCTAATTTCTTGAACTATGACATCTACGATTTGGAGCTGATGACAACTCCAAGCTAAGGAAACTGGTGATTGAGACGACAAGCAAGTTGATAATCGTGATCGAGGACATTGATTGTTCGCTTGATCTCACCGGCCAGCGAAAAAGGCAAAAAGAAAGCAGGAAAGAGCGGCGAGGATGAAGAAGAAGAAGAAGAAGAAGCAGAGAACGAGAAAGAACCTCTGGCCAAAGCTAAAAAGGATGTAGAAAATGCAGGGGGGGAACAACGATGAGAGCAGGGTGACGTTATCAAGATTACTGAACTTCATCGACGGAATATGGTCAGAAGCATGTGGAGGGGAGAAAATCATCGTGTTCATAACGAACTATGTCGACAAACTCGATCTAGCATTGATTAGGAGAGGGAGTATGGACAAGCATATAGAGATGTCTTACTGTTCCTTCGAGGCGTTCAAGCTGCTGGCAAAGAACTACTTGGATGTAGAGGCACATGAGTTGTTTGCGGAGATTGAGGTGCTTCTGCGGGAGATGCAGATGACTCCTGATGTTGCAGAAAATTTGATGCCAAAATCGGATGAGGAAGATGCAGCAGAGGTGTGTTTATGAGGAAATTGGTTGAAGCGCTTTAAGCTGCCAAGGAGAAGGAGACGATGAGGAAGGTGGAAGAAGATGAAAAAGCGATGGCAAAGAAGTCTGATGCAGCATCATAAGAGAAGTAGAATGGTAGCATTTCTTGTGGGTTTATATTTACCATCTGTCTGAGTTACCACCTGTACATACATGAAACAATAAGAGTCTGTTCTCCCTTACAGTCCCAGGTTCTCCTTGAAAAGCTTCCAGCTAGCATTAGACTGAGCTAGCCTCTCCTTAGCTCTCAGCTTGTTCTCCCTAGCTTGCTTTCGCTCTAACTGTTTCCCCTTCAGTTCCCCCAGTTCCTTGGAGGCCTCTCGGTTGGCCACCTCCATTTCACCTACTGTCAAATTCTTCTCATTAACAAGTTTCACTCTGAGAGCCCCCAACCGCTGGATTTCTGCCTCCACCTTCATCTCCTCCTCCTCAATCCTCGAAACTTCCGACTCAAGGAACTTCAATTGTTTCTGCCTCTGAACTAGCCTTCCCTCCAGATCCTTTGTTGCCTGCACAGTGGACTTTTCAACATCGCTTGAAGTTTCAACAATGGTAAGAGACTGTGGGATGCTGTCCTTAAACTCTACCAGGCGTGATACCAAGTCCTTAAGCACCGTCTTCTCGAATGGATCAGTAGCATGCTCGGCAAATTTCAGGACAGCTTGCTGTATATGGTCAAAGGAATTGGCCTGGCTGATGGCCTCGAGTGACATCCCAAAGAAGTTGTTCAGTATTTGTCTTTGTTGCTGGACTAAACCAGACCAGCGGTCGTCTGCATTTGAACCAGGTATTCCATCAACTGAAGTAGTCAATTCCCCACAACTAGCCATAGTTGAAAGTTCTGCTATCAGGTTCCTTGAAGTCAACTTTACTGATGAGGAGCATGGACTTGTGATGGTGTTGGTTCGAGCAACCTGAAGGGAAAGCCGTGAGAAACTGTTTGGTGCTTATACTTAATTGGAAAGACATCTCAGGGAGTTTACTGACAATTACCTTGTTGCTGGATAGTGGTGGCGTAGATGGGACACCTCTAGATTCAGTCTCCGACTCAGGCTCAATAACTTCTGGATCACCTGCAGATATCGACAACTCTTGTTCCTGCAAAAGGGGAGGAGACACATTAGTCAACACATGGTGGGTTTATTGTCATAGAAGGGAATCTTATTGTGAGACTTAACCGTGGTGACTCGAGCTTTAATCACTAGGGTATCATCCACAAGGAATCCTTTACTACGACTGTGAAGCTCGTCGAGACCAATGAAAGATGTGAATCCCCAATCCTCCTCTTGTTCCTTGAAAACATGTGTGGAACCTGCAGAAGGAAGGACAGTTCCTCACGATGAAACTAATACACTTCAAGAAAGAACAAAAGCCCGATTCCAGCTACAAAGTGAAATGGGAAAATGGATGAACAAGCTTACTCTAACTACAATAGAAATTCAAGTTTGGATGAATCAAATATGTACAGCTTCCTAAGATTTCCCGGAAACACAAACCATCAATCCCTTTAATCCAAAAACGAAATCGGAATTGACAAGAATGAGACCAGCATTCATAAAACCATACATCAACCCAGTTCGACATACAAACATTTTTCATTTGGAGCTATTGCACATAAAACAATTAACATGGTCTTCTAGTCTTCAAGTTACTATCTTCCAGTCAAATCGACTCAATGGTACTACGAAAGCGAAGGTACTGAAAATAAGACGAGAATGTGAAGGGGAGAAAACTAACAGAACTTTCTGGAGAGGCGGCCACTGATTTGGTTGACAATAGTAATGCTGAACTCTACGTACTTACTCCATCCAGCAGGCATCGTTTCCCCATCGTCAAAATCCAGATACAGGGAAAGGAAATCAACTTCATTTCCCTTTGGAAAGCAGAGGACTCTCCTGCCCAACCAAACAGCAGTGAACTTACTGATCATTGCTACTAAATTACATGGGGGGGAAATTGTCAAGCAGGTGAATCAGAATTAAGTAGTACCATCTGGAACCGCCGGCGAAAAATGCATCGGAATAGATCTCATCTTTCAGCTTCGAGAAATTAGGGATTCGCCATGTGAAGTCCTTAGTATCCAGCATTGCCTCGCCGCCACTCTGATTTCTCGCCATCGATGCCCGCAGTATCATCTGTAGATTGGCCACAAGAGAAGAAACAAATAGGGGCCGAAATCAGGATTAAGCGAAAGAAAACTCGAAACTACTACATTTGCGGCCGGGAAATATAACTAGGAAAACCTCGAAGAGATGGAGGATGGAATGCGGTTCTGAACCTTACCAGGGAAGGTTAGGAAAGATGAGAGTGGCTGAGCTTGAATTGATAGGATAGAGCAAGCTGAGATTTCGGCAATGGCGGCGAGGGCGAACGGCAAACGGGGGCCTCTTGGGATGAAGGGAAATGGAACGGAGCGTGCAATTCCGCTAGATACTAGTGTAGTTCCAGCTACAGTTCAGTTCTCTCCTACTACTGGAGTCAAAACTTCCTGACACCCAAGACCTTGTTTGGCGCCCCCAATTACTTTCTCTATCCTAGCTATATTTTTCTTTTTAATTTATTATCCAAAATATTGTATTTTATAAATTTATAATCCGAAATATTATTTTCTGAACACTTCCAAATCTATATTTTTGTGAAAAAAAATTATGATATTCTCTGATTTTTACCACACTAATCAATTTCTTTCAACACCCGGCGCGCGCTTGGCAGCGTTGAAAGAGTTTTTAACGAAGCCGGTTACGGCCTTCCAGGCCCAGCTACTGAGGTAAGAGGGAAAGGATCCACTTGATGAATAACCATTCGATATTAAATCCCACCCCGTCTAGCTATCGTAATATGTCTGATACCATAGTTTTCTAAATATACTGAAGCGAGTAATACTAGGATCTGTGCTTTAGTTTGATTGCAGCTAGCGCGCTTTACTTTTTTTTTTTTTTTTTTTGGTTCAAAGCTAGCGCGCTTTACTAATAACATAGAAAGTTTTCTCGCTTGTTTAGTAAAGTCCAGTTTTTTGCCTAATCTTACAGGTGAAGACGACGTCGAGTTGGTTGGAGAACGAGAAAGGTATGCCATGATCAGATACATCATAGAGACCATATGACAAACTGCAAGCTTTAAACTCGGTAAATAAATTTTTGATATTTTCATTAGCAAACTATAAGTTAATCGGTTTACCATCGAGCATTTCCAAAATTCCCGACCACCTTAAACTGATCATCTTACCAACTTCTGCATACCTATCCCACTATACTCTCAAAAATCTCCCAACCGCGACCATGTCTCCCTCCTTTACAAACCCAACGTATCCTTCAAAACCTTCCAACTCGCGTTCAGCTGAGCTAGATTCTCCTGGGCAATCAACCTGTTCTCAGAAGCCCGCTTCCGCTTGTTGCTTTGCTCCTTCACTTCTTCCAATTCCCTTGAGGCTTCCTGGCTCGTGCTCTCCAGTTCATCAGATGTCAACTTCTTTTGATCACTAACTCTGGCCTTGCGAGCAATGATCTCCCACATTTCAGCCTCCAGCTTCTTTTCCTCCTGCCCAAGTCTCATAACTTCGCCCTCCAAGCAGCTCAGCTGCTTCTGCCTGTGAACAAGCCTCGCCTCCATACCCTCGCTCATCTGCATCAAAGAAGCTTCGACGGCATGGGAGGTTTCAATAACGGACATAGATCCAGAGACGCCCTTTTTAAGCTCTGTCAATAACCCCTTCAGATGCGTCTTGTCAACTGCAGCAGTTGGGTGATCAGCTAACTGCAGGGCAACTTCTTCAACGTCTCCGAATGAATCCGCATGGTAGATGGCCTCCAGTGACATGGTCAAGAATCCAATCATTGCTTCCCTTTGCTGCTGCAGTAAGATAGAAGTACTATCGGTGCCAGAGGACTTCATGTTGCTATTCAGTCGTGAAATTTCCGCTCCAAGGCTTCTTGAAGTTAGTCGCACACTTCGCGATGAGTGCGAGCTCTCAGTAGTTTCAGCAAGGTTAGCAGGACTAGCAACCTGCAGCCATTGAGAAATTATTCAACAATTGAAAACTGCTCGCCTGCACTTCACATGTACATGTGAAATGTGTCTTTGGTGTCAAATGTTAAGTATCGTTACCTGAATTGACAATGGAGTAGCAGGCCCTTTAGCAGCTGAATTCAAAACCATATCTGAAGGATGGTCATCAGCCGCGCTTCTCTGTTCCGGGTTCATTGTTTCTCTGCTTGCACTATCAGGCTGATCAGTGAATTGTTCCTGTAGCAAGCATGAAAACAACAATACAACAAATGCCTGAGTGCAAATGTAGGTGGGGCTCGTGTTAATTGATCAATCAAAACTGAGCAAGAGAGACTCAAATACCATAGAAACTCGAACTTCAATCGTCACAGTATCATTCACAATGAATCCTTCATCAGGATTGAGAAGCTTGCTGAGCATAACGAAAGATGGGAATCCCCAGCCTCTGCCACCTAATGGGAAAGGTTTCTTCTTGCCACCTGCAAGGAGAGATTTAGCAAGAGAGCATCATCGAATTTTGAGTCTTCTCACCCTCCAAACAAAGTTCAACCACTGACAATGATCTGTCTAACATATCAACTAAACTAGAAAAGAAGACGGCATAGGAGATCATGGTTACATTTTCGGAGCGACGAGGCAGCATTGATTTGGTTGACTAAAGTCAGGGTGAAGTCGGCATCCACATTCTTCCCATCCGGCATTGTTTCAAGTTCAATTGAGTGCAAATATACAGGGAGATAAATGGTGCCATTTCCTTTAGGGTAAATGCTAATCGACCTGCACAAAGGTTAGGGTTTCTGTCACGCACCAAGTAAACGAGTCTGTTTGTGATTATACTGATGCCGAAGTACTCTTAAGTCTCACCATTTGCGGCCCCCAGCTAGGAACGTTTCAGAGCAGAGCTTAGTTGCTTTGAGCTTCGAGAAATTCTCGATCCTCCATGTGAATTTGTCAGCATTGGTCTTCTGATCTTCCACGGCCATTTCCACCAGCAAGGGCCTTCAGGTTAAGCAGCCATGGAAAATTTTAGGCACCCCTAGTACGCAGAGAAGAGAAATGAAGTTGAAAACTCACCTGGAGAAAGAACGGATAGAAGAGAAGAATGAAACAGGGCGGGAGAGTGTGGGAAGTGAAGCGGCGAGCTAGATGGCTGCGCGGCCGGGGAAGAGAAGAGAAGCAACGTTGGTGAGACTCTTCAGCCTTTCAGCCACATTGATTATATGTATATTTATGTTGGTTGTAATAAAAATATAAGAGAACACAAAATGAAATGCATTTATATAATTTATTTTAAGATAATTAGTATGTAATCAATCTTTATTCATATTTAAATAAAATAGTCCAATACAAATAAAATGACAAATTATCAGGTTTAAAAGAGTTAATACCTTATTCTGAGTCGAACTATGGCCATATAACCAACTTTGGCCCGTGATTTCAGAAATTAGCATCATGGTCTTAACTATGCACCATATAGACTCATTTGGTCTGACTCGTGAATTTTCGTCGAATTAGACGGTCAACATCATTGACCGTTGGTGAATCAGCATGCTACACTGACGTGAATGCCATGTGAAAAATAAAAATTAATAAAAATTTAATAATTTAATAAAATACAAAATTCACATTCTCTCTCCTCACTCTGCCCACACAGTCCCGTCCCTTTTTCAAGGGCCTTCTTCCCTATCGATGTTAATTTCTCTCCTTGTTAGATAGAATCGCACTCAGTATGCGATCTCCAAACATGTTCTATAGCTCTCTCAAAAGCCAGACATAATACTATGTGGTTTCCCCCTCCATCATAGTAAACCCAATGTTGAATTTCCTCTTGACGGGGGGTAACACCAATAATCTCAACTAGGGGCATGTTGTACTTGCTCTTCTTGTACATGGAATCAATCAAGATTACATGGTACTAAGCTCTCACTATCCAAACATACTCAAGGTGAGCAAGACAAAGGTGAGTAATGTGACAATCATCATCACACTTGTAGATAGCATAGTACTCTTTCTCTCTGGCATGGTGTAACATCCAATCCGAAGTGGTCATGCCACCCAATCTCTCAATCCTTACCTTTTTCGTCGCATTCTAAAACTGTTGTTTGTCGTTGTGAGTACTATATTTTTGGTTGATAGTTTGCGTCATTTTTCGGAGAGGAACACAAGCTCATTGCATCTCCTTGATATTCTTTAGCTCTTCATCTGTGAAAGCATTCCTCTTAGTGTCGCCTTCTGGATGAAGCTCCAATGCATAGTTGTGAAACCCACAAAATTGTCTCAGATTGTGATTATCCTTTACACCTCCAATCATCCAAGTCTCAACCTCTGGAAGTGCCACAGCCTCACTCGAAAACGACACCCATCTTCAAGCAGTGGCGGATCCAGGATTTTTTTATAGGGGTGTCCTCTTCCAAAAATTAAATTAAATTAAAATTTAATTAAATAATTCATAAATCAGAAAATATCCGAGTAGTACATATTTTAACAAAAGATCAGGACATATTTTCATATTTGGAAAAAACAATATAAAATAGACTCAATATCTACATTGTTCAACAAATCTGTATATCCTACTAGACAATAATGCACGAACTGATCGCATATTCGATTTCTAACCTTGTTCTTGATGTAACTCAAAGTAGAAAGACTCTTTTAACTATTGTCGTGTAACCATGAAATCAATTCAAATTAAGGATAACCCGTAATTAGTTTAATTGTTAGGTTTTGAAAAAGATTGGGGATAAGCAATAATGTTTTTACTATTTTATAGTGTTTAAAATAGAACAAGAAACGAGTTGAAACCTAGAGAATATGTTTAATAATAGTAGTGTTCTAGATTTGAATAATATAAAGTACCACTTATATTTTTTTAATCATACACAAATTACTACCGAGATTAGGATAATCGTTTTTTAAAATTTAAGGGTGTCTCGGATTACAGATTATAATTTTTTTATCCATACGAAACTATTATTTGAGGTTGGATAATCGTTATCCAAATTTTAGGGGTGTCCCTGATCCATGTATCCGCCACGGTCTTCAAGTAACCTTTATGTTGGATTGTCTTTTGTTATCTGAATTCGGTACATATACATTGCTCTTTTATCCACGATGACAATGAAAAAATATTTGGGGGTATAATTCGAGATCGTTTGATTTGGTTGATGGATATGTCAAAAAGAACCCGATTTTTTGCAATCACTTTGAAGGCTTCCATAGCTTCATTCCATGACTTATATCTTGTAATAATTGTTATAAATAATTGAGTACAATCAACTTTGTCTCCCTCATCTTCCAGATCTCCCTAAAATAAACACAATTGTAATAACATATACAATTGTAATAAAAATATTGAGCATACCAACAATTACTAGTCATCATTCTAACATGATTCTAACATTAGAAAGTTTAACCCGTAGTATTTTGGGGTTGGGTGTGTTGGCGGGACAACCCGTTAGACCCGTTTTATTTCATATTCCACTCTCAAAATGATAAAATCAATCATAAATTGATGAGATTTAAAAAAAATAATCATAAGGATTTAAAAGACAAGTTTGGAGGGTAAGGATAATCAAACATCATTTGTTTCTTGTAGTAGTATTGCTTTCGTGATTGTTTCATAAATATTTATGCAATTTGTAGACCTAGCAATCGGGTCAGGTTAAGTAATTTCGGGCTGAGGCCTCCGATTACGGGTCGGGGTCATGTTGGGTTGGCTGATTTTGGGTCACATATTGACCCAACCTATTCGATTTCGGGTTATGAGCGCTCTCAGATACAATATCAAACATCATATTTTCTTAAAGAACACAAATTTTCACATATGCATGACAATAGTTTACCTAACACATATCAATTAACATATTTTCAAATCCTCTCATGCCAATGATATGAAATACAAATTGGGCAATCATCAAAAAATAATCACAAGAGTAATACTATTCCAAGAAACACACTATAGGGGATGCGGTGGCCGACAACAAAATTGAATGAGAGTGTATTTAGTGAAAGGTGTTTGAATATTTTTAGTCTTGAAATGTGTGCATTGAGTGTATTTACATGTAAGAGCTATTAATGAATATTTTATAGAGTAATGACTACTTATTAATCAATTTTTTCAGATTATTTTTTATTATTCAAACCTATTGAATTACTAATAATTAGCCAAATGTTAACATTCAATTAGCAATTTTGTTAGTAATATTGACTTGTCAACATGATACTAACTTGGAAGAGACACATGGAGGTCAGCATTTCAAAATTTCAGCATTTTAACTTGAAAAGAGTTACAAAATTATTAACAATAACGTAAAAATGACTAACTACTTTGACGTGTTACAAAACGTGTGGATAATTCTTAATGTTTCAATAGATTTGGCTAAAATAAAAGAATCCGAAAAAGGTTTGACTATTAAATAGACATTACCATGTTTTTTTTTTATTTTATAGCTATAAATAAAAAAATTAGGACTACAAATAACACCTCCCTAATATATAATAGTATATTAAGAACTTGTTGGTCTAAATAACTCGAGTTTTTATAAGAAATTTGATAACAAATCTTATCTAATTAAACAAGCCATGCATGCACGAGAAACGTGAGGTTTTGACTAGGTCGACCTTAAATTCAAATAAAGCGGCAAAGGCAAAGATTGCAAAAGTAGAAATACAAGTGGAAGCAACAAAACACAATGGAAGACGTAATCTTTCATGAATTTGAGGCCTCTTTGGAATGGTATCCGGGTGCTCTAGTCCAAGCTCCCAAGCACCATAAACATCTCTTCTCTGGGCTCTGGGTAACAACAAGGACACAATGATTACATTCGAATGCAGCAAAAACAACATAATTTCACGAGGAACCCGACGCAAATCTGAAACTTATGATAGAAAAATACCTGAAACCGGGCGAATAAAACATCTGAATCGTGCAAATATTCTGGGAGATCAACAGATACGAAAGCAAATTTCCACTACAACAGAAAGCAACAAGGGAATGAGATACAAATTATAGGAGGTTTTGGGGTTTGGAGCGTTTTCTTGGTTGGTAATTTGATTTGATACAACTTCGTGACTCAATGGGTATTGGGTGAGAAGACCCAATAGGGTAAGAGGCAAAGAGAGGGAGAGACTAACCGAATTTTACTGCATGGTTGCCCAGATCTTGGGGTTGACCCGCACGGATTCTGAAATTACTTAGAAAAATCATATTTCTGTACTCTACAAGATGATATCCATTTTGACACTTTTTTAGCAAAAATATTTTAAAGTCATATCATATAAGATCATATTAGTTCATATCAAGTTCGTGTCATTCATATTAATATCGTATCAGTTCCATGTCATTCATATAATATCAATATCATATTAGTTCATATTATTTTTTATAAGTTCTATGTCATTCATATCAAGTCCATATCATTCATGTAAAGATCGTATTAGTTCTATACCATTCATATCAAGATCATATTAGTTCATATCAAGATCATATCAGTTGATATGATTGATATGGCAGTGATAATATTATAACCGATACGTATTTTGAAGAGTTCATTTTTCTTTGCTCAAAATGTAGCAAAATCAATATCAATGTGTAGATCATAATAAATGTGTTCTTTCAATTAAAATGTTTTTAAACTCCGAGTTAAAAATGGATTCTCTATGATTCAATTAAGAAAAATAAGGGATTAGGAAAAGTACATTCTCTCTCCTCTCGGTCTGTGTCAGGTTGACAGCAAAAAAACCTAGGGGTGGCGGAATTACTAGCCCCCCCCCCCCCCCCCTTCTTTTTTTTTTGTTCCGAATTAATGTGGGTCATAAGATCTGCTATGAGATTTCAGATCTTGTTTAGGGAACTTGTAATCGACTTTACGAGGTTTCTAATATGTTTTAGGGAACTTGTGGTCGACTTTATGAGGTTTCTAGTATGTTTCATGGGACTTGTGGTCGGTTTGATGAGTTTTCTGGTATGCTCTAAGGAACTTATGATCGGATTTTATGAGATTTTTGGTATGCTTCAACGAACTTGTTGTCGACTTTATGAGGTTTCTAATCTGCTTCACGGAACTTGTGGTCTGTTTTATGAGATTTATGGTATGCTTTATGGAACTTGTGTGTGCTTTAGGAGTTTTCTAGTATACTTCCGGAATTTTGTGGTAGACTTTTATGAGGTTGGTTGTCTGTTTCAGGAAACTTGTAGTCGGTTTTATGAGTGTTTTGGTATGCATCATGAATTTTGTGGTGTGGTTAGGTTCTGGTATGCTTTATAATTTTTCTTGTCTACTTTATGTTATTTGTGGCGTGGTTTATTGTGTTTCTGATATGTACTTTCTTGTCTACCTCATGTACTTAGGTTAACAACGGGACACATAATCAATGAGCAAACCACGCGCATGTTGCCCCTATAATTTTTAAATATGACAAGCGTGCCCCTTCATATAAACATCAACATAAATTGTGGTCAAATCCTAAAAATTAAAAGTCATCAAAATAAAATGTTTATATTATATAGACTAAGAGTCATTTAGAGGTTGAAATTTCAAATAATATATTTAGCCAATACATATAATGTCAAGATTAAGTCGTTGTTCTGGTTAAATTTGAGATTGAATATACATGCATTACCTTTTTTATGGGCTCATCTACAGACTACAATCACTTAAAATAAGTGATTCTCAATCTCTACCAAAATGTGAAATTGTTAACAAAGGGCTTGTCTACCCAACTTTTCTTTATAACAAAAACACCATCTAAACTTTCAAACAATATACTTTCCAAACTCATACATTTAATCAATGCATCAAATTACAATATACAAATTGATTAAATACATCGATTTGATGGAATTCCAACTTCTAAACGACCTCTAGGCTCTAGTTAACAAATTAAATAATAATAAATTAATTTTTTTGGTACATAATTAAATTAAATATTAACACTAGTGTTAGTAGATTACCTTGGTCTAGGGGTGAACAAACATACCCGCAAACTGACCTACCCGTCCAACCCGACCCAACCCACCCGTATTTATCGCTAAATCGAAGGTTTTGGGTTGGGTGAGGGTTTTCTTTTGTACAACCCACTTCTTTTGGGTTGGGTTTGGATTTTGGATTACACAACCCGTAGAACCCCGACCCAACCCGTGTTCCAATTATTGGTATGAGTTCGTATCCAAAAAAATATTTATGTCGTATATAGTCATACTTATGAGAAAATTAAGATATTTCGCCATGTTTTTCTCTTAAAGTCTCATTAATCCAATGCATTCTTCGACTTAAAGTTTAGACATATATTTAATATAGCTATGATTCACGTAATTTTTTTTTTCTTGTGTACAATTTTAAAAGAATATCATATTATAGATGCGATCATTTGTAACCTTTTTAGCCTATTTCAACAAATATCGTGAAAAAAACTAGACATAAGTTGAAGTAAATCAAGTTTTATTAAAATTCAAACAATATTTTTGAATTTTGATATCTTTCGCCACAGTTTATTCGTTTGAATTTTTAATTTGTTATAATCTATTTTTATGATGTAGAATAATTACATATTTTGTGTTGGATTGGGTTTTTACTTAAAAATATCGCCAACCCAACCCAAGCCAATTAGAAACAAACCGTAGGGTTTAAATTTTTTTGGGTGGGTGGGTTTAATATTTCCCAAACCGTAGTGTATGAATCGAATGATTTAAATGCCTAAACCCGGACCACCCAACCCATGTACACCCCCTACCTTGGTCCATCCAATCTGGCCCTAAAAAACTTCTTCAGACAGTTGGGCCATGTAGTTCAATGACCTCCTAGAATAGGCCCAATGGGAAATGAAATTTCACCGGATCCCGACTCGGGTCCAAAACCCAACCCGATTCAACTATATATAAACAACGAATAGTTGGTTTCCTACCGGTCGGTGGTAGTTTTTCAGACGAAGTCACCGTAGAGTTTTCAACTTCACGCTACACAGGAGGAAATGAGACCCAACGTTGTCACTGAGGTAAAGCTTCTCGATCTCTCTTCTCAGCTCTTCCCTTCTCTCCTTCCTTTCTCGGCTTCAATTCCATGCTCCTCTGCTAGGGTTTTCTGTTCTCTCTAGTTGAATCACCAAGTTTGCTTGGCCATTTTTTGGCCTCTCCTTCAATTTTTTTCCCCTTTCGGTTGTTTGGTTGCTGAGAAAGTGTTGCCAGCCGAAGGAAATGTGTATTTAGAATCTCGCCGGGAGCTGTTCTTTCTTGGTAATTCTAAAGCAAAGACTATCACTAACCTTTGATCCCTACTACCGAGCGAGTTCATTGAATCCTCGCCTTGTTTTCGTTTTACTCGACGTAGTCTCCTTGTGTAGAAGATTCTCCATCCATCTGCTCTCGTTTCATTCGTTATCTGGAAATTTTGTGTCGTATTCCTATGGACTAGTAACAGGAGGAGTTTGGGAAGTTGTTTGGCTACTTGTTTAGAAGTCGGAAGAGAAATTGTTGATCTGGACTTGAATTTGGTAAACCGTGTTACTCTCTCTTTTTTTCCTTACCTGTTGTTTGGTTGAAGTATAGGAGGATGTTACACTAGGAGGATCACTGTTAAGTTAGGATTTATCCATGAGATCTAAAGGCATTGGAGCCTGGAGGGTGAAGAATCCATAGATCCCAGTATTTGTATGCAAAAGGGTATAGTTTCGCATAAGTTTAGTGCTCTAGTCTTGATTGATATTCTGGGAGCAATCTACAGATGCTGATAAAGGAATTCAATGTATCTCCTTATCCTGTTTATGACTCGCTCCTGTTAGAACATAGTTTAAGTTTTAGCTTTAAGATCACCTCAAACGTGGCATTCAGCCATTCACGAAGTATCCAATTTCGCTCTGCGAAGTGTCCATAGTTATCTTCTTTTTCTGTGATGAAAGTGTATATTATTTGTTATGCTCATACTCTTGAGTTGGCTCGTTGGGTATTCTGTAAGATAATCACTCTGAATTAATCCACTTTGAAAAGCCAGTTTTAAGAAATGAAGTAATAGCTAGTAACAAATTGGGTAACCTAACTGGGGACTACACTTTTGTGTCTTCCTGCCTATGTTTCCCGAATTTCATGATGATTTGAAGTTTTATTGCAGTTTCTGCAACTCTATATGGACTTGCATCTTTTGTTTCTAGATCATCGGAATCAATTTCTATCCATTAAGTTCAACATAGTTCCAGTTCTACCCTATACTCAGTTGAAGACGTTGTAGTGCTGGCTTCAAGATGTGTGTGTTTGGTAGTTCCTATACTGAGTTCGTTACTGTGGCGTCTGCCAGTTTCTCCTTCATTTCCTGCATCCTCCTCTCCCTCCTGAGCTTGTATATTCTTCGACATTCACTCCCTCATATTGTTTCAGCCTTCTCATTACTCGTGGGTCAGTAATAAATCTCTTCAATATTAAGGTAAACTGTTGGATGATTTTCCAACTTCTAACAAATCCCTTGTTTCAACCCCCTCCCTTTTCCAGTTCAAACAGAGAGAAAATGTACCCTTTCTTGGCAGGGGCTCCTTGGACTTGAATTTTAATGCGTACCTTCCACTTTCGATAAGTCCCGTAAGGAAATTTTCTGCATCCTAAGGTGGATATTACGTAACATTAATGTTAGTAATCTAATTATTTATCGTCTCGGAAAATTGGTGTATTGTGATGTCACTATTACATATATACCATATAATATTTAGGTTTACTTCTGCAGTTGGCACCTGCCAAACTATAGCTCTTACCCCCTATTCAGTGTAAGTTTCTGTATATTTACCTTTGGCTATTGGTCTGCAGGCGGGCTTGTCTACAAGGGTTGGTCAATGGTGGGAAAGCATTCCTTTCCTTACTTCTGCCGTGGTGGTTGTTTGTGGGGCTATTTATTTGATCTGTCTCTTGGTTGGATATGATTCCTTCTACGAAATCTGTTTCTTGCCATCTGCTGTTATATCAAGATTTCAAGGTACCTTTGATTTTACATTGAACTGCTAATTGTGTAAAGTAATAGACGTTGGATATTTTTCAAGAATATTGGGTTACACTGTGGAAAAGTGTTCTCTTATTCTGCAATATGTGTAGTTAGTAGTTACATCAACTGTATATTCAGGATGTTGGTAGCTCAGTGTCATTATTTAGATGTAGGCCCTAGAATTCTTAAATATAAGTTCTATTTGCAAAGTTTCACCTGTTAATCTTAAATTGGTTACCCTTTGAAACTATTTAATCTAGTAAAATTCTTAAACTAGGATCCATTTTAGACAGAAAATCATGCCTCTTACTTATCTGTACCTTGCATAGTTTTCTTATTGTAGCTTCCTTTCTAAACACTTATCTCATTGATATCTTATCCTCATCACTTTGCTGTCATTTTCTTAATCTCTTTTCAGTTTACAGGATCTTTACTGCCATTGTATTTCATGGCTCTCTGCTTCATGTTTTTTTCAACATGTTGGCACTGGTGCCTTTGGGGTCGGAATTGGAGAGAATCATGGGATCTGTTCGCTTGCTGTACGTGATGATTTTGTTGGCCATAAGCAATGCGATTCTCCACCTGATCATAGCCCTGGTCGTATCCCACAATCCATTTCATCCATTTCCAGAGCTCATGGATGAGTGTGCAATAGGCTTCTCAGGAATATTGTTTTCCATGATTGTGATAGAAACTAATTTGAGTGGTGCCCAAACTAGAAGGTTGGTTCAATGTTTCATCATTATACATTTGTGACCTTAACTTTGTCTGCCATACATCTCCCCAAATTCTATATTAGGATCATGCTCTTTATACTTTTTCATGTCCTGTTAAATGTACAAAAATTTACGTGAATTATGAAATCATGCTACAACTACTTCTATGAGCAGGTGGATAATATGAATAGTAAAGTTGGTTCAACTGATATCTTTCTCCTTTCTCTTGTTGCAGTGTATTTGGCCTCTTCAATGTACCTGCAAAGTGGTAAACCAGTTGCTTCAGTTGTACACAGTTTCTTATTATCATTTTTTTTTTTTTTGGCTTGCTTGATGATCTTGATTAAACATTGTGTTGCAGGTATGCCTTTATCCTATTGGTAGTCTTCCAGTTTCTCATGTCAAATGTCTCGTTACTCGGACACCTGTGTGGCATTTTGTCTGGATTTGCATGTATTTAACCCCTCCTTCTATTGGCAGATTTCCATGTTTTCCGGTTCCCCCCTTATTCGATGTGTTTTGTTACTACACAGCTGAAGTATAAACTTTGAAAGAATGTCTCTTTCTGCATTCCAGATACCTATGGGTTTTTCAACTTGCTTATACCCGGAACATCCTTCTACTCTGCAATTGAGGCTTATCCTTGGCTTGTAAGTACTGTAGCATAACTCTATGGAATTTCTTTTGCAGTCATCCTTATCTTTAGTGCTTTTGTAACTAAAAAGGAGATTTCTGACAACAAAGCACATGCTTTTAGTGAATCATTTATCTTGAATTTATATCTTTATGCTAGGCAATTCATAATTCTATTTTTTCCCCATTTTCTTATTTACTTTCCTTTTTCCGTACTTGAAGATCAAAATGATCTCTTCATGATCAGTTTTATGTAGTTTTTTAAGCAGATTTTTTGCCTCTTTATCAACAACATTGAATCTCCCTCTGGTTCCCACATATACTGTACAACACTTGCTTTGGAGTTTTGCACTACCATCTCCTTTAAACGCAAGTGATATCAGCATGAGTTTAAAATAAACTTTTGAAGAGATTGACCTGGATTTCCTTTTTCTTGCACCCCAAACAAACCACGCTATTTTGGCAACTCTATTTGGTTTACTTATCACTGGCGCATTTGCGAAAAATAACTGACTGCCTATCCCATTTATTCAATGTGGTTCTCAGTCTTCTTGTGTGAGGCGGCCGAAGTTCATTCTGTGTACTGGAGGAAATCCTACTGGATATATTCCAACATATTCTGGCCAGACTACAACCTCCAGGTAGTCTCTCCTTACCAGTTAACCTCCATACTCTCTATTCTTCACGAGGAGACATTGACTTGTTGAAATTCAATGATCAGTGGAATTTTGTCTGGAAATATGTGGAGAAACCTGTCCTCGTGGATGCCACAGCGAGAAACGGCTCCTCAGGTACAACGTTGTTTAATTTCAGTTGTTCTTTTTATGTCAGATGTAAGTTCTGACCTTAAATTTTTTTTTATAATCACGGTGTCCCTTGTATTGTGTAACTTTTTCTTATAACTATGATACACATGTATCTGTAGTCGATGCCGCAGCAAGACAGTAGGTTTCCTGGAAGGGCCAGAACTCTTGCATCTGGTCAAAGTCAAACTACTCTGTCTGGTGACTCAGATGCCAACCTGCAGGCTCGACTACTGGATGAAAATGACCATCTTTCTCCAACTGAAAATGTTGCAAGACAGCAAGTTTTAGATGGAAGGTATCACTTTGGAAAAGCTCCCTCGCATCTCTCATAGGCAGATCTTGAGATTAGTTTCTGGGCTATCAGCTGTGTATGCTATTTTCTTTTTATAGTACTTAAAACTTATGCATATCTCTTGGTTATTATTTATGACAAAAGTGATGGTTAGGATTGTAGTAAACTGAGTATAGTTTCTCTTCTCTCGCCGCCAGGATTCAAGTATGTTCTTCAAGAAAAATACTAATAAGTAGTATTTTCTCACCGAATTGGGATACATTGAGTATGGTATACTTAGAATCGGTATCCGATCATTAGGATTGTAGTAAACTGAGTATAGTTTCTCTGTCATATTATGGCGACAATTTGTTGGTTCCAGGTGTTGAGTATGTTGATTGTTCTGTTCCTTGGTATAACTAATGTGTGAAGCATTAATCCCGAGTAATCACAATGCTGCCATCTTTAAGTATTGTCTCCTTGTTCATTGTTTTCAGGAGGCCAGGACTAGATAATGCAGTTGCAGCTCCTCTCGAGAATCCTGCTCCTCGCCAGGTCCTTTTAAAATTAGCTGAAATACAGGAGTTGCTTTATACCTTATCGATTTAACACGGTTTTTAAATTAGACACTCGATTTCCTGGATGCAGAGTACAGCTCCTCCTGATGAGCAAATTCAAAAGCTGGTATCCATGGGTTTCGAAAAGGTAAAAGAGCTTCTGGAGTGGTACTCTACTCCGTCCAACATCTTCTATTCATCTATGTTTTGATTGACATGCTCTGAACTTGTGCTCCATGAAAGAGCTGTAAACTGAATTCTAATTTTTATACGATTTGGGTTTGGAAAGTTTGTGGAATATTTTCTTTTTGTGCTTCATCAGACTAAACAAACTCATCTGTTATGGAATCATTCGCAGACGCAGGTTGAGGTTGCCCTGGCGGCTGCTGACATGGATATCAATGTAGCAGTTGAAATTCTCATGAGCCAGCAGGTGTATATTCATTTTCTCCTCCTATAAACGCAGGGGCAAGTTTACTGTTTTCCAACTGACATGTCGTTGTCTGATATGCAGGGATGACCTGCGAGTCCAGCCCGTGATCTAAACTAAAACCAGTGCAGAGATTTATCGATCAGGATTTCTTCTTCTTTAACTTTGTTTGCATACTACTGTGCGAAATGCGAAGAAGATAGATTTCGTACAGTCAAAAGGAACTACAGTCGAACAATTAGAAAATTTCGAGGAAGTGTAATAACTGTGTTTTGTCGAAAGAAGGGTGCAAAGAACCATAGGATCTGTCTTGTAAAGCAAGTTAAAGGAACTGCAGGTCGCAAATTCGGACATCAGTAAGTCCATTGTTAAAAGGAAAACCAAAAAGCTCATATATATAAGCATGTAGTTAGAACAAGAAAGATTCCCCTTCTGCATTTTTTGATGCTTTAAACCAAAGGTCAGAATAGTGTTATCATCACTCTGTTCTCATTGGGAGACTTCTCTGTCCACCAGCCTCAGCAATGGATCTTGATTCTTGTAGTACCCAAAACTGAAAACGCCTCTCTCCAGTAAACCCTGCACAAAGAAAAATAATATTTAACTACAACCCGGGTAAATCGTCCTCTAATTAATTCATGACCCGAAACCTTCTGCTTCGGAATGGGATCTTACCAAATCTCGACCAAAACCAGAGCACTCATTCGGCTTCGTGAAACTTGGTCCTCTTACGATATCTAGCACGGAAACGAGGCTTCTTCTGATGCCTGGCCACTGTTTCCTCTGTGCATCCCTAGCAATGATAGAAATAATGTCTAAGACAGCAGGCAACAGCAATGATCAATATAGGGCGAGGAAAAGGAGGAAGTTGTTGTGTATGGCTTACAGAACCCAAGTGGCCAGACCCACCACACCGGTAACATGAAACCTCGAGTGGACCGGCAAGTCGAAGCTCACTACAGCACAGGTGACCAACCTTCTTGCACAAGTAACATTCCATTTCCTGCTCATCAAATTAGCAGCTGCTAAGAACCCATGATAAAAGCTGGACTTAATTAAACTCGAGACCATGCGCACAATCAATTTTGCTATGTTGACCTTGAGATCATCAGGTGAATAATCGCTCTTACATGACAGCATATCGTGCCCCGACTCCCTGCACCTCAAGCAGATCTCGGAGTTCAAATTATCTCCCTCCTCCTCCAAGTGGCAGCCTTCTTCTACATGGCGGCTCTGTCAATCATGAGCAAGGAATGATGAAGCTGCTTAAGAGACACATAGGGGTTTTCAGTAAGTGACTAAGAGGATACTTGTTGCATGTTTAGAGACCTGGACACAATGCTTCCATGCATGATCAAAACTGCCACAGAGGAAGCACGGTTTTTTCTCCTGCTGCAAAGCACAGCGCTTAGCTATGTGGCCTTCTTCACCACAATGGGGGCATAGTATTTCCAGCAATCCGTCCGTTGGAGGATCAAAGTATCTTGGTCTCCGCTAAAAATGACAATGCAGTTGCATGAGTTGATGTGTTTCATCGCCATTCATGTATGCATAAAACACTTCAATCGGCATTACCCCAGTAATGGATGAAAACAGAACTCACAAGTAGCTTTCGCAGCACCAGGTTGTCCTCGCCATATGTTTTTACTCTATTAGACGATTTTTCCAGCTTTTTTTCTACTTCTGCTGTATCCTGAGATAGCTTTCGAAGCACCAGGTTGTCCTCGGCAGATGTTTTTACTCTATTAGACGACGTTTCCAGCTTTTTTTCTACTTCTGCTATACACTGAGATAGCTTTCGCGGAACCAGGTTGTCCTCGGCAGATGTTTCTACTCTATTAGACGATTTTCCCAGCTTTTTTTCAACTTCTGCTATATCCTGAGACAAGTATAGGTTGACATCAGTAAATTGTCAGTGAGTAACAATGAAAAATGTGGCCGTAGAGGAATGCAGCATCTCAAAATACAGTTAACTGTGTCGATTAGAGCAATGGCAACGGAAAGGCTGGTAGTTTTGACAATTAGTTGAACAGTGTTACGGCAATGATTGTTATATAAAACAAGACTACTACCCAAGTTAATAACTCCTGCATAGTGAATGCATTGGATTGAAGAGAACCCAACTTCCCTCTTCTCTTGTTGCTTATTTAATTCAGAACCAATAGATTCTGAAATAATCATCTGTGAAGAATGACCCACTTTCCCTTTAGAGATATCAAAATGTTGGAAGACTCAAACTTCTCATATCTCCCTCTCAAGTCATTGCATCAAACCAAGTACAGAGATTCTTCAGAAATGTCAAAAGGGTCAACAAAATCATCGTTTCATCTGTAGCATCGACAATTCAGGAGCAGGCTATCTGGATATGAACTGAGGAACATTTTCCAAGCTGATTCTAGCAAAACATTCAATCTATAAAAGCCCAATTCTTCCACATTCACCAAGGAATGCAAGTTCAAAACTTCTGCTCATGGGTATTTCAACCAAGGAGCTACTAAAACATTGTTGATCAGGGAAATGGAGAGTTGAGTAATAAGAAGCAAAGCAAATCTAGAAATGGGCACATACGAGGGGCAAGTCAGGCGGCTGCTGAACTCGAATCTGATCACCAGAAGCTAAAACCTTCTTCTGTCTGCTGCTTCTTCTCCTTCTCCTCCTCCTCCACCTACCAGGACCCTGATAAGCATCAACATCGCGGCGCCCACCTTCCGCACCCAGTAAAGCTTTCAGATTTTCGAATCCGATCAGATTGCCCAGCTCGCCCAGCCTTTCCTTCTCTTCTTCTTCGTCATTTTCTCCTGCAGATCTAACTCCAGCTTCGATTTCGCTACTGCAATGCTTCTCTTCCTCTCCTCTTCCATTAATTCCATTGCCGTGGTTAGTAGTACTGCTGCTTGCTACTGCCCCATTCATGCTTCTGCCTTCATCGATGATTTCAATGTCGAGCTCTTCCTTTTCAGTTGAAGCGACTGGAGGGAGATGGAAATGGACGCCGCCATTGGAGAAGCAGTTGGTCAGCATGATTCAATCCGTTTCGGGGGGGAATTTTTGTTCTTTCTTTTTCTCGCCTTCGAAGTTTTCGTTTTTTTGCTTGTTGTCCGTTCCCCCCTTTCTAGCAATTCGGTCACCACTATTTTCCCGTTAGACCTCTCGCGAGAAACAAAGAGATACACAAATTCTAGCTGGCCAGGGTGAAACACAATTAGATACCAACACAAAAAAGATTGGCATGGGCTTAGGGACGATTGGTGATCATTTCACGCGAATGGAGTTGATGTAGAAGCAAGAACGGTATTGAGAGTTAAAATTGTTCGAGAAGGCGATGGCCCTAGAGGTGAGGGTGCCATTCCTCTATTTAAATATAATTTTATTAATTTTTTAGGATAAAAAGCAGCTAGACGGATTTTTTTAGGGGGGGGCATAAAATCGGCATCAGTGATACGCTAAGCCTTATTTGTTTCTCAGTGGTATCCGTCCCCCAATTCAAAAGATCTAATGATGCCGAGGTATTTCTCCATTTCTTAGCAAGATGCTAATTACTAATTGATTCGGGATAGATTACACAATTTTACACCCCCTGACTTGCGTCGTTTGACTTGGTTTGCGCCGTCCTTCGAGCTATTTTGTGTTAGCTTTGGTCGTGTTTTGGCATGTTTCGGATCTAAGCAGGTAGAATTGGCACCGGGATAGAAAGTCGGACAAAAGAGGGCGAAAAGGGAACAAAATGGACAAAAAGTACAAGGATCAGGACCAGCCAGGGATTATCACGGGCAGCAACATTGACATCAACACTCAAACCGTGAAAACTACACACTTCCGAGAGAGTTTGTGCAGCTCGTGGGCACTGTGAGGATCACGGTCTATAAACCATGATGCGAGCAGCCAACCTGTGAAGTTTGCAATCGTCCAGGAGCCTTCATACAGGTCATGGGCGTTGTAATTCTCATGGTCTCTCAACCACAATGTCAGTAACCAGACTGTGAAGTATGTTAATGAAGCAATGCATTTTGCTGAATTCATGCTTTCATTGCATACTTCACGGACGTAAAGTGAGGCCGTGATATGAGCACTTGCAAGCTAATATAAAGGAGAGTGAGTTGAAATTGGAGAGAGTTCTAGATAGAGAGGCTTAAGGGTTCTTCTACAAGTTGAGAGAGAGAGAGAGAGAGAGAGAGAGAGAGAGAGAACACTATTTTGACTAAAGAAAGGGGGGAAACACTTATCCTCCCTCGCTCTCAACTTCATCGTGGACATTTTGGAGCCGCGATTATTGAGAGTACGTTCGAATAACGAGTAGCGACTCGGACGAGGTAATTGTCCGTCAAAAATTTGAAAAAAACAAAAAAAAAACCCATAAAAGTAACAAAATTGCTAGCAGCAGAAAACCCACCCTTCAAGGGGGATTTACAAATCGATCTACCAAAAATTGGTTCCTGGGGACTAATCCCCTCCCTGAAGGGGAAAACTTGAATTGGATCCTCCGAAGAGATTTGGATCCCAATTCCATCTTCTGGGTTTTGCATCTTCTCCCCCGCGAACAGGGCAACACCCGATTCCTCCATTTCCGATGAAAGAGGGAGATAGAATCTCCATTGAATTTTCTGTAACCTCCGTCGTTTCTTAAGGGGTTGTTCCACAGAGTCCCCAATCTCCGCACTTGACGATAACCACGATCTCTTCATCAGGCAACGCCGCCGTGACCCGCGCCCGTCTATCCTCTGAAACCCTTCTCCGGCGTGTGGTCCGCGACAGAGTCGCCGTCTCCATAACTCGGAGAAGCCGGCCATCCCGTTGCCTGGGCTTCATCCGGCGACGAATCCTTGCACCGAACGTCAGCCTGTTGATTCCGCCAGCTGGTTTCAAAGACGATGGAGGCGAATCGAACGATCCAGCTCCCCAGCAGCGAGCCCCAAAAGAGGAGAGAGAATATTGACTTGGCAACATGATACTGACTTGGAAGAGACACATGAAAGTCAACATTCCAAAATTTTAGTATTTTAACTAAGAAAAAAATTATAAAATTATTAATGATAACGTAAAAAATACTAATATTTTGATACATTGCGAAAGATTTGACTAATTAATACTATTTTAGTAGGTTTGGATAATATAAAAAAATCTGAAAAAGGTTTGGATAAAAAATAGACATTACCCTTTTTTTATATACCTGGATAAAGCTAGCCTAAACCAGATTAATCTAATTCAGTTATTAATCCTTAACCCACTTAAACGAGTAATTGGTAGAAATCGAGTTACAACCTTTATCATAGCAAATTTGACTAAACAAATTTATTGTACATTTCTTAATGAGTTATAGGTATAATGTACTCACATATTGTATATATCTTTCTATAAATTAAGCACTCTCCCAGTGGCGGAGGCAGAATCTGAAAGTACCTGTGTCTTTTTTCCATAATATAAAATAAATAAATAAATATTTAAGAAATATAATTAAAACTAATAATATTTAAATCATTTATTCATATATATTAAAGAAATACTAGACTAATACAATCATTATTTTCATAAGCAATCACAATGCATTTTCAAATTCTCAATGTATGCGACTAAGTAATCATTAGCAAATTGGTCGCAATTCAACTTTGAAACTTGTTTTTAATATAGCTCAAAGCTTAAATTGTTCTTTCTACACTTGCAATTGTAATGAGTAGAGTCAAAACTAACTTTAGAAGACAAAGAGATCGACCTTTAGGTACCGTGAATTTTGTTTATAGTGTGATACATTGATTTATGTTAGCTTTTAAACTTAAAATAACTTGTAGTGTAGTGATAAAACACTTTTATATTACCTAAAGTTGATGAGTGTAATCCTTAATTGATTCATATATATGGGGTATTTTATTTTACCCAAAAATTACCTGTGTCCCGGGGCACATCCCATGCCCCCTAGCTCCGCCTATGCTCTCTGATGCACACTACTGACATTTGGAAATGCATGCAATTTCAGTTTCCAAACATGTTTTACTCAAATACTTCTATATAACAGTAAATGACTATCTAAATTTCACTTAGTATTCAATGAAAGATGATATGCATTTAATTGATTTATGAGTTCAAATATACCTCTATACCACTAAAACTACAAGCATTGTGATTTTGAGTGGTTCACTCACCTTTGCTTATGTTTTCATGTCATCGTTTGCAAATTTACTAATTTGAAATCCAAAAATGAAGAAATTAAGATAATCTCATTTCGTAGTAAATTGAAAAGTCTCATGTGTAAGTGATACTTTACTGTGGATGTGGTGGCGATTGAACAAATAATACCAAACAAGACCTAAAAATTTCCCTCTAGTATGAATGACAAAAAAACATCTTTCCCAAACCCTTAAAACTAGTTAAATCATATTTGGTAATATCACTTATGGGTCATTGCAATAAACAACCATTTAGTTTGGTTCTAAATTAGACCCATTACACTGGCTACCCAAAAGAAAATGAATACCCAATTCTAATGTAATTTTTTGCAATTTTCTTAATTGTATAGCAAACATGAATGGGGAAACACCAACATCGAAGGTGTGAATTAGTTTAAGAAGAATAGCTAGATGGTCGATATCGTTTTTTCATATGTGTAATTATATGGATTCAAATAGACCTAAATTGTGAATTCGATCCAAATAGATGCTCTCATGTTCTAACTCTCTCCTCTATTTCACCTGTCGGTAACTTAAAATAATCCGGCTAACAGATCGGGTTAGTTCTTCATTAATTATTCTCCTCTCCCGTAATTTGCAGTCAAAAGTAATAATTAAAAAGGTAAAAATCTGGAAACCGACAAACAAGAGAGGGTGACGGATGTTAGGGGTGTTCAAATGGTTACCATGGTTATTACCAAACCAAATAAGGCTAAATTTCATTAACCATGGAATACAATATCATAACCAAACCGTCCAAACTAATACAACAACCAAATTAACCAAACTAAAGATTAATCGGTTTGGTTAATTGGTTAACCAGATTAACCAATATAAAATCTCATTATCATCAAGTGAGAAAGTTTTCGGTTAATTTATCAATTCACAATTTATATAATGAATAAAACATAACAATCAACACATAGTTATAGTTGGCTCTTAACATAAATACATGCAACTAAGACAATCATCTTACGGTTAGTATAGAAGTATTCACCTAACAAAAATTTATCACAATGGTATGGGTTAATGAATTGTTGTGTTTGTTTGAATTGACTTAGTTTTTTAGCAATTTTCATAGGCTGAAAATGACTTTGCTTTCAAGTTTCAACACAATGTATGAGATTTATCTAACTAGGCGTTCATACGTTGCGGTCTACACTCTACATATACAAATATACATTATAGGAACAATGTCAAACTTTATATTTTATGAGTCTAAAAGGGATGAACGTTTAACTCTTGAGTGGTTATTCAAAGTATTAAGTATGTGTGTATATTAGATATATGTCTAATTATTTATTTGGTTAATTTGGTTTGACTGGTTAGGAGTGTTTGAAACCAAACCAAACCACCTAAACCAAACAAGCTAAGAACTTTAACCAAATTATCCAAACCAAATTATCCAAACCAAATTATCCGAATAGTACTGATTAAAACGGTTACCATGGTAACCACACCGTTTGAACACCCCTAACGGATGTAGTGCTAGCAAGGTCGTCAAACCGATTTGTGCCAGTGTGCCGGTTTAGCAAGTGGAATGGTTCGACCGGTGGTACATACCGGTTTGTGCCGGTTTATGCCGGTTAATATTACAAATGATTTACAAATACTCATATTTAAGCACGACATTTAACGTCAATACCTAAATATTTGTACTTGAATCCAACAAATAACATCAACATTTAACTTTTTAACACATAAAATAAATAATAAATTACTTTTTATCAAATAAATTCACTAATATAAGATCATTTTACTTAGAGATTCATATATCGATCATGCCGGTCATACCGGTAGTGTCATACCAATTTTATTACCGGTACAGGTTGAACCAGTGGCACGCCGGCCGGTGTGACAACCACGAGTGCTAGGAATCTAGGATCCAGTAAAAATTGTCACACCGACCTCCTGATATGCACGTGACATCCTCCCCTTCTTAAAAACATTATTATTTCGCCACGTCACCTGTCCGTACATTTGGGTAACAATCGTCACCTTAGATGCCTCCCTGTCATTGGTCCTTCAGCGATCCGCCTTCTACTGCAGTCACAACAGCGCCCCCACAATAACTTCCCGAAATCACCCCTTCAATCTCACTCGAAATCCCAAAACTACCCTCCAGTTTTCGCCAACCAAAAAGAAATTAGCAAAAAAACAAGGTAGGAAAGAAGGAAAAAAGAAAATAAAAAGGAGAAAGAGAAACTCCTCCCAAAGACTCATCATCGCTTTTTTTCTTTCTTCTTTTTCTTTTGTCTTTTGGGTTTTTGCTTTCGCGAGAGCCCAGTTCCCGTCCTCGCTCGGGAGTGTGTCCTCTTTCTTACCAGCCCGCCCTCACGTCTGCGCCTTTCTTCCTTCCCGTCTCTCTCCATTTTTCTCCCCGATTCACGCTTCAGCTGACGGATTCCTTCGATCGAGCCGGAGCGGCGTTTCCCTTGCTGCTTTTCATCCGGCACCGTCACTCATGACTATGATGACTCCTCCGCCGCTGGATGTAAGCGTCACACACATCGTCATTCTCCGCATTTGATTGATGCAACTGCTCGTATGCTAGCAAGCTGTAGCTTTCTCCTCATTCGGTTTGGGAGATTTCTCGTGATCGTCTAGGTTTTTTTTTTCCTGGTTTAATTCCCGCAGTACGAAGCTCTGAATTCGGGGGGTTTTCACTTGGGAGATTTAATTTGGTTTCATTAGCGTTTGGTGCATGGTTAGGGTTTTGATTCGGTATGGTAGGGTTAGTCTGTTTTTTTCTTCCTTCTCCTCCTTCCTTTTGCTCGATCGCTGCTTTGACTTGGTGCTTTGTCTTCCTTCTTTGGATTCGTAGCAAGAAGACGAAGAGATGCTAGTGCCTCATTCAGATTTAGTCGAAGGTCCTCAGCCAATGGAAGGTTAGGAAGTTGAATTTCTTCGTCCTATTGGTTTTTTGCTTGTTGACTTGCTTAGTGTTTTCACAAACATGGATCGGCAGTTTGCCTTGGTTAGTTAGTTGCCGGCGTAAGGGCTTTAAATATGTTGTCTTTTCCTCCCCTGATAGTGGCACCAGTGGAGCCTGCTGCTAGTACAGTGGAGACTCAGCCTGTGGAGGAACCTCCTCCGTCCCTGAAATTCACGTGGACGATTGAGAATTTCACAAGGTTGAACACAAAGAAGCACTATTCCGATACATTCGCTGTTGGCGGTTACAAATGGTACTTGGGTTAAGATCCCTCCTTTCTCTGCTGCTGAACTTGTTGATTTACTTGCTTTATTTATTTGTATTTAATGAGATGACCTCGTTCTGATTGTGTGTATTTTTTGTTTCATTTTTCTTCGAAAATTGCTTTGGCAGGCGGATTCTCATATTTCCTAAGGGAAATAATGTCGACCACCTGTCGATGTATTTGGATGTTGCAGATTCTTCTACATTGCCCTATGGCTGGAGTCGCTATGCTCAGTTCAGCTTGGCTGTGGTGAATCAAATTCACAACAAATACTCAATCAGAAAAGGTATGTTTCTGGTTCTGATAGACAGTCCTTTGGTTTGTGGTTTGATATTGGGCTGAAACTTGGAAAATATGCGTGTGATGAATTTAGGACTAAGTCACAAGTAATTGTTTGGTAATTTGTTAATTGATTATTGCTTGCCGGGAATGCCAGTTCAAGCATGTCACTATAACGTCTCCTAACTGCTCAAATATTTAGGATATCATTAAGTGCTCTTGGCACTTATTGACTTAACCTCTGGCCCTATGATTTCATTGATTTGAAAGTCAAGGATATCATTAAGTGGCGGGCTTGCGCAATGTATTGAATGAGTATTTTTCTAAAATGCTTACTTCTTTGATTTGTCCGCAGATACTCAACACCAGTTCAATGGAAGGGAGAGCGACTGGGGTTTCACATCCTTTATGCCCCTCAGTGATCTTTACGATCCTACTAGGGGATATCTTGTGAATGATACTGTACTTATTGAAGCAGAAGTTGTTGTCCGG